CGCCTTAACTAAAGACGTAAATAGTACATGGCGCCAACACATATAACAATCATATTTGATATTTTTATGCAGAATAAATTAGCACAAGTGTCTTGTACAAGGTTAAATGCATTTTTCGTGGAAATGAGCATGTAGCAATTTTCAGACAATCTTGGCCATAAACCGTAGGATGACGATAATTTTTTATGCATTTTTAAGGCCTCCCCCCTTCCCCCCATTCAATGTTGCCATTTCGTGTATATTTATGATCTGACCTACTCTACAACAAAATTGTACGTGTACTAGAAATGTGGGAGAGCAACATTGAATGGGGGGAGCGGGGGGAGGTGCAAAATGATTTTAAAACCCAAGTATATTAAAAAGTTGCGAATTTCTTTTGTCGTTCTACGAACTTTTGGCCAAGATTGACTAGTTACATTTTTGTGCTGTATTTTTTTAAATGACATTGGGCAAACAGTTTTAAATGTTGGGAAGATCTAAATAAAAAATAGACAGTTTGCTGCTGGCTGTCAGTCTCGACCCAAATTGCATTCTTTTTATTTTACATTATTGTGCTCTTATGTTTTTCTATTTTAAATTCGCAACTCGCACTTGGATATATGCTTGTCCTCTGTGTCTATCCTCTCCCCCCCCCCCCTGTAACCTCTGCAGAATTTGCCGATTTTCAACAGCCAATAAGCAACAAGCCGATGATTTTTCTGATGACGTTTGTCATGCATTTTGCAATAAAAATATTTGCACAAAATATTTTCGATAAAAACCCACTTTTTATCCATGAAATTTAAATACTTCTAAACTTTTTTCAAAAAATATCTAAGGTGTTTTGTATGTAGTTTTTTTTCAGAAAGTAGCAGTTTTTGTTGTTGTTTGAAGCCGACCGTATTAGTGTGTGTAAATGTATTATGTAAAAGAGTTGCCAGCCTTAGGATATTATACTATATGAAAATACAATGACGTAAAATGACATAAACATCGTAATCTGCATATATAGTGAGCTACACAATAAATCGCATGATGGCAAAGTCAGACAAACTTTATATGTATTTTTAAGTGTTAAAGCATTTTTACATTATTTGCCGGGCTGCCTATGCAAAAACACAGCAAAATTCCTGTTTTCAGTCATCTCAAATTAATTGTATGGTAATAAAACTATATTTCAGTACAGTCTTTGTGTGTTCATATTCATTCATATAGTGATATGTGTTGTGCTTCTTGCTCTATTGTTGTCATTTTATACATTTTGCAAAGAAACTATGTGTTGTCTATTTTTTTTATTTCAAGAAGGGTCTCGCTCGCAATTCCTTATCAACACAGAAACAAAAATATACAAATTATTGCATTTTGAAACCAAAAGAGTCAATGTTTTTTTCCGACAAAAAAGAAACCAATACATGCATGCTGAAAGTTTACCAAATCCCCTTAAATATTTTTGTAGGCTTTTATACAAATGAGATCAAATGCGTTTGGAAAATCTAGCCAAGGCAAATATATTTTGCTTACCTTACGTTGAGTATAGTAGCTACTTTTCCCGTAGTTACTAAAACATGGAACGACCCACAACGATCCACAACGACCCCACAACGAGCCACCACGACCAGAAAACCAGCCACAACGATCCACAAGTTCGTTGTGGGGTCGTTGTGTGGATCGTTGTGGGTTGTAGTGGGGTCGTAGTGGCTCGTTGCAGGTCATTCCATGTTTTAGTAACTACGCGTTGGGGGTCGTAGTGGGTCGTTGCGGGGTCGTTCCATGTTTTAGTAACTACGTGTTGGGGTCGTTCTGGGGTCGTTGCGGGGTCGTAGTGGGTTGTTGTGGGGTCGTTGTGGATCGTTGTGGGTCATTGTGGGTCGTTATGTTTCATAGTAGTGGGTCATTCTGGGGTCATTGTGGGTCGTTCCATGTTTTAGTAACTACGCTACTTTTCCATGCAGTTGCTTGCATACTGTGATGAAACTGTCAACTTTGTGTCGTTTGTACACTTTCCCCTTTCCAAAAGTTACTTGTTGTATAAGCAGACAATCCACAAAGAGTAATAAACCAGTATGATTGCCAATCAAAAATATTTAACAGCATCAAATGCCAAATATATTCCTTTGCATGGTCCATATATTAGACTATTAGTCCAGTGCCAAACATAATTCTATAAAACCGATAGTTATGCAGAAAAAAAATGTACTCATGATTGACTTGTTTTACTCAGCAGCTTCAAAAAACATTTCCCCGCAGTATATTAAAGGCTACATGCACAAGAAAATACAACCGAAACCATTTAAAAAAAGACTGTGTGTTTAATAGTTTTCAATTTAGATAAAACTTCCACAAGCTCTATTGATTGCTTTTAGCATATTTGATCAGAAAGCGTCAGAAAATCCTGGCTATATATAGGCAAACATCAGGGCCGTAGCAAAGAGGATAAAGAAGGGGGTGTAAAGTCACATTTGCCAACAAGAATTGAGACACTAATTGATATTCACTTTTTCCGTAATTCAAATGAATTTAGCTGAATTTGTGCTAAAAACTATTACTTTTTCGTCCGAACCACTCTAATATTTTCTAAAACTGTCTGTACCAGTGTTGGTAGTACCAATGTGAAAATGCTGTGCTGAGTGGTTATCCACCCACATAGCGATTTGGTCTGTTGGAACCACTGAGTTGGAACATGTTCAACAACTACAACATCATTGCATGTGAACAAATAGATAACACACATGAATCATGAACATATAGAAATCCATTGTATGAAAACATACAAGGGTATAGCCTATAATTATTTGGTACTATTGCATGGGAATAACTAATTTGTGGTGAATTCCATAGATAGCTTATGCATATTATTTTGATCATCATGGACAATAATGGCATGCACACCTTCAAAGAACTTTGGAAATACAATTTCTTAGTGAATTGATATTATATTGTTAGTTGCTACTAATAATTTAATTTCCCCTTTCGAACTTTATTTCGATCCCCATATAAACATGATCGCCTATGGAAAATTGAAAACAGGTTAGTGATTATTGTGTTTATAAAGTACCTAATTCTACCGTACATTGGCTATTTTAGAAAGATTAGCAATTACGAAATTAATGTTGGCGATTTTATTCTCATGTCTTTGATCCTGGAAGAGGCTGGCAGTTCCAATTTGAATGAATCATTATTGGTTGGAGAGGTTGTCGCAGTATATGGGGAAGCAAAGTTAAGAAAACGTCTTCTTCAAATATGGGATCTGGAGAGAATAATGAAAAACACGATGGATGGATTTTAGATTGTGCTCATGAAGGTCAGTTCACACTGCTCAAGGTACTGTTCTTCGTAAGTAGGAACAATCGTGGATGGTTGTTGTCTAGTGTACAAGATAATTGCTACCTTGGAGCCACCGAGCATTACCATATATGCGCACGGACAGTCAGTAACGCTTGATGATCTGGAATTTAGTAATTGTCTTACACTGAACACACTTGATTCAATCATTCGTTTACTGGATTCAACTTAACTTTGCATGGGTAGTGTGGTAGCTGCAGAACAATGGTGAAAGTTATATGAAGTGTTTAGGTCCAGTAGCTAACTCAAAGTTGGCAAGATCAATTTCAACGTCTTGTTTGCTGGTAATGCTAGGCACATGTGCATGCAAAACCTGCATTTATGTAGCTGTGAAATGAAGCAGGGGAAAAGGCCAAAGGAAAAATTATATAAGAAATGTAATGTACATTATTCAGCAAATGTGGATTAAAAGAGAAGATGTGTGAGCAGAGAAAAGAAGTGACAGTGCAAGAGAGAACAGGGCAATGGATGAAATGATAGAGTTTACCGATGATGATTGTGTTGATCTAAGAAGAATGATGGAGACTGTTGATAGCAATGATGTATCTGTGGACATGGCACTCTTGTGGGAAATGCAAAGCAGTTAGCTTCCAAATCCACATCAGGTTATCGATGGCACCCAAGAACTGGAACTTGGGGAGATAGCATGACAAGATGGCGGCCGAATTTATAGCTCAAGGAAAAGTTCAACCATTACGGAGCTATTAGCCCATTAGTCGATGCTATTTTTATTGTTTGTGTACATTATTGTAGTTGTCATGTCGGAGAAGTTAAAGTGCCCCTGACACAAAATTTTTTTTCAGTCTATTGAAAGTACTCGTTTAGTATAGTGTCCTAGCGAAAGAATTTTTCGATTTCATCAAAACGAAAAAATTTTAGAGCCGTTTGAACATGCAAAATTTGGGCTTTTGGTTGGCAGGCGCCCGTGTTCGAAGGAAACTGGAACGAGCAATTTTTGTTACGTCACGCAAGTGAGTCGGCATACTCTATTTATATTCGACTGACTAGACTTGGCGCATATATATGTAGATTTGTGATAAAAAAAGATATGCCTTTTTACTGTGTCGCAGCTAACTGCACCAATAAAGCATGTTTAAAAGATGGAATAAGTCTACACACTATTCCATACTTCAATGATGAACGTGTGGAAGCTAAAAGACGAAGAAAAGTATGGGTTGATTTTGTATCCGCAAAGCGCTTGTTTGTGCCGTCAAAGACTTCGACTATATGCTCGGATCATTTTATACCAGAGGATTACGAGAGGCGATTTTTTTCGTTGCCGGGGCTCAGCAAGCCTAACTACCCGAAGCTAAAGACTGACGAGCTGGGAGTTTGCGTTTTCCCTACCATACATGCGAAGACGAAGGAAGTTGTGCTCGATAACCAGACGCAAAGTACGAGAAGCAAGCGATTGGTAAGTGTTTACGCGTGTTTTCCCTTCAGATTGTATTTACTGTAGTATTATCAGGTGCTCCATGTCAGCTAGCAATTATATCGCTAACAGTTTCGTCTATTAATCTCTCTGTCTACAAGATTATAAGAAATATGCTTGACCAACCTGAAGATAGTTCGTTTATGTCACCGTTGACTGCCGAGAAAGCTTCGAAAACACCGAGGTCATCGAGAACGAAGACAAAGGATCAACCGGCCACGACAACCAACTCAGAAGAGATGTTGAGTCCGTTTCCAGAAACTTTTGATGAGCTCGTTAGTAAAACATTGATAATTTCATTCAATAAATATCAATAGAGAATAATACATCAACATGGGTGTGCGGAAATACCAGATTTATTTCGAGTGTTGAACGTGATATCTCAAATAGTGAAATATCATGTTCAACACGAGAAATAAATCTGGTATTTCCCAGCATCCATGTATTTTTCTGTTTATTATACTCAGTATAAAGGACAGTCTTTGAAAAGCTATATTTTTCACATAAAAGCGGTAATTGAAAAGCGATATAAATTTTCACACGTGAACATAGTCTCACATGTGAGTTTATCAGTGCTTGAAATCTCCATGAAGCACTATACTTTATATAATAAAATATGATAAATTTGTGAAAATATGTTTTCACGTATTCACAACAGTTTTTATATGTCATGTTTTTGATTGCTTATGAACAGCAAAGTCCTACCGATGCAAATGACAGTCAAATAGACCAGTCCATGGAAGGAGATGACAAAGTTGATGGAGATGATTTGTTGATACAGAGAAACAGAAGGTTGAAAAATAAAGTTATTTCTCTTCAAGCAAGCCAAAAAAAGAAGGATAGAGAATTGAGAAATATGAAACGCAAAGGTGTGTGCAGCACTAGTAAACCAAGTAATTAAAAAAAGAAAATATTGCCTGAAAAAATAAGTTTATAATGTACCAGCAGGTTGATGCATAGAGATGCCAATGGCCCAGCCTCCATGCGGCACGTGCCTGTTAGGTGTAACAGTCATGTTCATGGCATTTGGTTTGAAAAAATAATCTTTTGTTCAGCGGTGGGGCAACATAAAAAAGTGTGGGGATTTGCATGATGGGGAGAGGAGTTATCATTTCATTGAACAAATGCAATAATCGTGTTATTTTCTACATTAATAATACTCTATAGTAAACCTCCTTGAAGAACTGATTCGACATGACTCAACAGAAAGGAATGTGGAGGAAAAAGAAGTCCTGTGTACAGATGATGTTTGCATGGATGATTCAGATGACGAGGTTGAAAGTGAGATGGACCAACCATACGTCATGGAAATGGACGAAATCTCTGCTTCTGAAGATGAAAATGACTTAGAAGATGAACCAGAAGCTCAGTAAGTAAACATGCAACAGTGAATTCTCAATTGTGTAGATGCAAACTAGTAAAAAGGGGAAAAGCAGTCTCTTTCTAGCTGGTATCATTGTAATTACCTCTCCAGAAGTCTTGGCAGATGAAGATTCCTTACAACCGTAAAATTTAAAAAAGTGTTTTTACTTTATAGGTTGCCAACAATTGATGGAAATATCAGAACAGAACCAAAATTTATTGTGTTTTGGACACAACTCCTTCTACTCTTCAAATTCTGCCACTCCTGCAAGTCTGACAACCCTTTGATCAAGACACGCCAAGTTGGCACAAAGGTTGTTGTAACCACAACATGCAGTAACCCCCACATGCAATCAGAAGATTTCTAGTTGGCACAGTCAACCGAACATGCCCAATATGAAAATGTCTGCTGGAAACTTTCTTCTGTCCATGGCAACTTTGCTAGCTGGTGGATCAATGACAAAAGTTACACAAATTTTCCCACACATGGGTCTTTCATGTATTTGTTTGCGCACATACTTTCGTTGCCAGCGAGTAAGTATGGCCTCTTATGTGCACATATTTTACAAGTAGAATATATATTCTACTTGTAAAGGAGTTGTGAAGGAATGGATGATGGAGACTAAACCATTGTATTGCATTTAATTAATAATTAATGAGTTTATATCTTCATTTGTAGAAACTGCTGTTTCCAGCTATATTTTTACATTGGAATAAATATCAAAAGAATTTACTGCAGAAAGCTAAGGAAGCAAAAGATGGTGTAATCATTTCTGGGGATGGACGTCGTGATAGCATGGGCCATTCAGCAAAATTCTGTGCGTACACAATATTTTGCAGTACTTTTGCAAAAATTGTACACTTCGACCTTGTGCAGGTAAGTCATGCATGGCAGTACATCGATATATGGAATGACCAAATCACCAGATACACCAACAGTACTTTATATACGGTATACAATATTTAGTGTCTGTTTCTGTATAACATTTACTAACTTGTATTCCCTTTTAATAAATTACAGAGAAACCAAGCAGGAAGCAGTCCAGCTATGGAATTCATGTGCTTTAAACTCTGCATGGACTACCTTATTGGATATGGAATTCGCATTACAACATTCATTTCTGACCGACATACCTCTATTGCCAAGTACATGAGAACAAAGTTGACGAACATTATTCATTACTTTGATATCTGGCATTTAAAGAAAAGTTAGTACCCAATGGTTGTTATTTCACTGAAAACACTAGTCTGTGCAGTACTTCATGTAAGCTGATTTTTGTATCTGTGCAGTTGGAGATTTGGGGCATGCTTACATGGAGTATATAATACCAATATCCTGGCTGATCCATATGTAATGTTTGTAATGTTAATCCTATCCTATCCAGTAGCATTGTTTGGTATCACCACTTACATCTGATATCAAATTTTCATTCTAAAAATCCGAAAGGTCCTGTCAAAAATTTCCAAGGAAAAAGACTTTGAAGAACTAAATGAGTGGATAAAACCTTGCGAAAATCACTTGCATTGGAGTGCAACATCCACTTTTGATGGTAACGGGCTTGTGATTTGGGCAAAATTTAAGTCTTTCCTCAAGCATATTGTCAATAAGCACTCAGATCACAGTGATCCACTGTTTAATCAATGTGCTCATAAAGCCGACATTCCACCAAGGAAGTGGTTAACTGAAGGTGAGTAGAGAAAACCTGCCAACAAGAGATTATGGTTGGGTAACATGTCTTGTTTTATTAACCATGGAAACTGTTTTCTTCAGGTTCATCATTGCATGAAAGAATTTCAAGTGCCCTAACAAACTCAAGGCTTGTCAAGGGGATTCAGCAAGCATCACCACTGGATCAGACCAGCTGTTTGGAAGGCTTCCGCAGTGTTTTAAACCATTTTGCTCCAAAGATGATCGCATATATAGCTATGTTGGACAATACTGTAGGTTAGTAATGAACCATACTGTATTACTGTATGCTGACTAATAGATTTGTTGTATGCTGTACAGTATATATTAGCCCTTTAAGTGGCAATGCGCCCTACTTTATTATTTTACTCTAATGCCAGACAATTTTACTCATCAGTGGGAGAGTGCTGCCACTCAATGGGTTAATATTATACTTTACCTCAAATTTTCCAATGAGAAAAGTGCATTTGTACCGCTATGACGTGACCACTGAGAGTATATCACACACTATTGTGTGAGCAATGAAAAATGGCAGCAACGTACACACGATGTACAACGGTATTGACAGGTAAAATTGTGTTGTTTTTAAGTGGATGTTCTTTTTTTAATATTTAGACATATATTGGCTGTCATGCACTTCAATTTTAATCTGCAACGAGAGAACACAAAAAAGGCAGACAATCAAGGGAAAATAAAAATTACATACCCCAAATTCAAAAATGGCGAAGCAACAGTAAGGGATGTGAGAGTTACACCAAACTTTGGTAAGTTTTTTTAAAGTTTAGTTTAGTTAGTAAGTTTAGTTTATTTATTTCAATTATTACATAATTCTAGAAATTTGTTTTCTACTCAATTTAATAATTTTAATTCTCCTAAACCTTTTGTAGGATATGTCCAGGATATCTATGCAACATTTCTGACAGCTACTAAAAAAGAATTAGAGAATGCTGCCAAGAAGTTGGAAGAACCAGAACCCATGAATGCAATGCTTGAGAAACAACCAAGGACTCAAGCAATTAACAAATGTAGAGAAAGGAAAAACATGATAGCTGAAGACGTTCCACCCACAACCCCAGGTATTAACCACTATAGTACGATTTTGTTGTTAAAATAAAAGTATATAAATATCTAAACTGTATGATCAATAGGAAATATAATTTATTGTAATTTACATTTTTTTCCCTTCTTTATTTCAGTTTCTGAAGTTCAAAGAGAAAAAGAGACTGGTGCGAGAACAGAAAAAAAAACCCACACTGCATGGCTTGCAAGCATCCCATGAAGGGACACAAATATGTTCAAGATTGTCCTAGAAACAGTGGACAGAGATGATTATCTGTTATAATATGTACATATTATTAAATTAAATCCACTACGGTATTTCCAATAATAAAGTTCCAATTTGTCAGTGCAGTGCCTGGTTATATTACCGTACATTACTGCGGATTCAGGTAGACCATTTAATGCGAATAGTTGTTGTGTTAGTTCGAATGGTTACACAATGACGTTTCTAAGCAGATTTTCAAACGTTTCTAAGGCGTGGCTTCAATGTTTATTTTCAAAATTTAACCATTGTAATTACAACATTGAAGCCACGCCTTAGAAACGTTTGAAAATCTGCCTAGAAACGTCATTGTGCAACTGTTAAAACCAACACAATAACTATTCACATTAAACGGTATACCTGAATCCGCAGTACCTATAATTTCAATCAGTCTTAAAAATGGCAATTGCCATAAAAAAATTGTAAATTCATAGCAGTTTTATATTGGAACCTAGCAAGATTGATCAACTAATTGTTACCCACTCTTCCCAACCCTTTACATAAAATTCCAGAATCAGGGTAGGTTGGGTCTACATTGACTGGTGCATAACTTGGTAGTTTTTTATCAATCAGTGTCAATAAATCCAGTAAGATCCTCCTTTTTTGCAACAGGAAATATGCTCCGTATCATTGTGTACGCACAAGATGGTAATGGTATCCTTCTGTTTCCAAGTAAGCCATATACCATTCTAGTAAATTCTCTATACGAGACACTCTGCAGGGAGCTAAAAACAAAAATATTGTATGACATATTATTCACTACACTTTACCATATTTTTTTCACTGTGTAGATGCCCGGCAGTCATCAACTAGTAATCATAATAAAAATAGCTCATATATCATTTTAGCAATATAAAAAGGTTATTTTGTAATGAATTTCAGTGAGTTTACTTTGTTAATTGGCTCAGCGGCTAAATCATTCTGAAACGGTTGTGGGGGCAAACCCCCTCGATTCTGCTGCATGTTGTGACCAGTTTTAGCCCTCCTCAACCTTCATGGGTTGGAGGTTAGGGCTGGGGTCATGATTGGGACCAGATTATTTTTCAAATGTGACTTTAACTATAAATGCCAGACATATCTAGTTCTACTACCCAGCTGCCAGGCATATAAACACAGGGGTTTTTTTCATAGACATGTAATACCACATTAGCATAAGTGCTACAAGTTGGCCATATTTTTTTGGTTTTTGCATGTCACAGGTTTTGTTTACAAACATGTGAAATTCACAATGGATTTGCCATTTTGCACTTTATAATTTTGAACTCTACATTCACTTCAGATAACATCAATGTAGTACCACTTTATATAATACCAAAAATATGCTGTAAGGACTGCCTTATTTTATATATGTACAGTGTACACACAGACCTGTCTTCTGAATCCATCTGATGATATCTAGCTTTATTTTTGGTTTTGTACTTGTCTGCTGTACAGTACTTGTCTGTAGACTCCATTTTTGCAGGCAAACTGGGTCAAAACCAGGATGTTCTGTGATGCATTTCAGACAAGCGTCTTGGCCAACATCATTGAGTACTTGCTCACTGACAAGTGCTTGTCCACATTCGTCGATCTCGCAGCAGCACAAACACTCATTGGGATTACTGAGAACATCCCTACTACAGTTTCCACATTTACACCTATATTGGTAAGAGAGTTTTAAATTAAAACAACAAAATATCGCGAAACTGGCATGAAATGTTAAATAGATTGAAATTTATATATTTGTAAGCATAAAATTATAAAATCAAGAGTTCAAAACAGGTTTTGGCCAATGGCCCAATATAATTAATATTTGTCTTACCATTCACTAATTTCCAAGGAGCCGTCAAACCTTTTACGCAAATTTTCTTCATATTGTATACGTTCATTCTCTGCCTTTTGGTAATTTCGTATCCATTCCTCATCAGCCAAAGGCTCTTCGGAATATGCCAAACCGAGCACATTTTCGTTGTCTTCAAGTCTCGAATTTGCTTTGAGCTGTTTAAAAGATCAGGATCTTCCAACACAACATAACCAGGAATAAAATTCACATCGGAATCATCGGACTGATAGCTACTGTCGGATTCTGTTGTCGACATGATATTTAATAGAATTTAGAATGAAAAACCCTTCAGCTAGCGATCAAACCTTCGAGCTGATTATACATCAAAACACTACAAACAGACATAGAGATTCGACTCACTTGCGTGACGTCAGAATAAATGCTAGTGCCAGACTCCTATCGCCGACGGCCATTAGCCAAAAATATTTGGATTCAAACGGCTCTAAAATTTTTTCATTTTGATGAAATCGAAAAATTCTTTCGCTAGGACACTATACTAAACAAGTACTTTCAATAGACTGAAAAAATTTTTTGTGTCAGGGGCACTTTAACAGAGAAACAACAAAAGACTTTAGAGTCGCTTTTAGATTCTAAATTTGAAATTATTACCGATAAACTTTGTGAAATCGACAGGAAGGTTGAAGAGGCCTCGAAATCTCTCTCCTTCCTCAGTAATAACATGCAAGACGCATTAAATAAACTGAAGAAACTAGAAGAGGCCAACCAAGAAAATTCCCGATAAGGAGATTGCAAAGCTCAAATCGGATCCAAAGGTCGCCAAAGATTGTCTACACACATATCAAAAAGTATATTTCAAGTTTATAAGTAATAAGTATTTGATTCAATTCCTTTCGTGGCGTGACAGACCTGCGGATGCCGTTTGTATGGTAAAATATAACATGCGGCATTGAAGTTTGCTTTACTTCTGATTCACTTGAACTTGTACGTGCTGAACCTGAATTGGATGCAATCATTACTATATATATACCCACATATTATAAATTAAGGTTAAACTGCTTTTGCACGAAAGAAGATTGTACACTAAGTGGACACCGCCGTGTTTGTGACATGCAGTTATTTATTAGCATTTTTGTGACATAATGCTTTATATACTCCAGTTTTATCGGTTTAAAAGCTTAAAATCTCGTAACTTGCATCCGTAGTCATATTCTTTGTATTCTTCCAATGCTATAACTACCAAACTTAATTCTCAAGAATGTTTTAACAGTTTTTCCCATTGCTAGACTTCTGTTTAGCTATATGCACCAGTTGGTGTGACATCCTAATTGGGTATACCTTATTTGGTGACTTCCCACTAGTCCGAAGGTTCACTAGTCCGAAGGTTCACTACTCCGAAGGTTCACTACTCCGAAGGTTCACTATAGCTAGTCCAAAACATACGCTGGTTTTGAATTACAATTACGTGTTAAACTTGGCTGCTTCGCAGTTAAGCATTTTTCGTACCTGCATACACGCACGCACGGAAAATTTAAATCCACTTGAAAGTCTTTTGTCCACTTGAGAAATAATTAAATGAATAAAAGGAAAGCATTTAGTTTTGTGTTTGATTTTAAGTACCTAAATGACAAAATTGCTATGCTAAAATAAAAAAGTGTTCAAAAGATTATTCTATTTATTATGTTGTAGCTGTTTGCAGGACATAAATGCATAACTGAGAGTTTCATAATGATTGCGAGACAACAACGTTCAATTATTATGAGCTATCTACAACTGTAACA